CAATTTGGACCAACTTGAAAACTGGGCCAAAAATCAAAAATCTAAATACATGTTTAGATTCAGCATATCAAAGAACCCCATATATTCAATTTTTGTTAAAATCAAACAAAGTTTAATTTTGGACCCTTTGGACCTTAATGTAGACCAATTTGAAAACTGGACCCAAAATTAAAAATCTAAATACACGGTTAGATTCGGTATAACAAATAAATAAATGTGGTCAAAGATTTTACAAATCTAATGCGCCATACTGGTCTTCCTTTATAAATATGCATTTCTTTAAACATAATTTAAAAGCAGTGTAAGGGAAGTAACCAAAACGTTGTATTTGGATTACCTCCCTTACACTGTTTTAAATTATCTTAATTGTTCATTAACCATTACTTTATACATAATTTAAAAGCAGTGTAAGGGAGATATGACAATGATGTATTTGATTTATCTCCCTTACACTGCTTTAAATTATGTTTTGTACTAAAGTATTTGTCCATTAATGAGGACAACCTTGTTTTTCCCCCTTTTTTGCCCCTAATTCTTAAACGGTTTGAGCAATAACCCCCCAAAGCAAATCCTAACCATCCCTTTGTGGTATGGAAACTTGTAGTATAATTTCAGAGAGATCCATACACCGTTCCACAGTTATTGTCTGGAATCTAGAAAATGCTTATTTTTGGCCCCTTTTTGGCCCCTAATTCCTTAACTGTTGGTACCATAACCCCCAAAATCAATCCCCACCTTCCTTTTGTGGTATTGAACCTTATGGTAAAATTTCATAGAGATCCATTCACTTAAACTAAAGTTAGAGTGCGAAAACTAATGCGTCTTCGGACGACGACGCCGGACGACGACGACGACGACGCCAACGTCATACCAATATACGACCACAAAAATTTTTTTGCGGTCGTATAAAAAACAACACAACTTGAACATATTAGTGATATCACTTCACTTGCCTTCGAAAACGCAGGGATAATACATTTCTTAAACAATATAACCCCAAACAACGTCATCGTACTGAATATGGATGCAATATTTGTCACTGAACCTTAAAGCAGACAACAATCAATCAACCAAGTCTTTAGAGCTGTGTGATACTTATGTAAAATTCATTTCTTTAGTGGTCTACATCATGACATTCAAATATTTTGGTGAGTTTGCTATTATTGTGTCCTGGATTTGAAAAGACACTGCAGTAGAAACGCCATGATTAAAATGTAAAAAATGTACAATTGTGGCTAATTTGTCTTGAAAAGTTTTATTATCACTGAGATAAAAAGTGAAAATTTTCACTCAGTAGCAATTTAAATATACATATTTCTGAAATTTTGATAGATAAAACGCACAACGGTCAGTACAAGAGTTTGCAACCAACGATACAAAATAAACACGTAAACTTTTTAAAGGACAACAGAGGTCAACGTCTAAAAATCAAACCTTCTGTTGCGTGATTGCTATAATCACAAAGTCTGAATTGCCGGAACACATCGTTACAATGCGTAACGTTTAAAATATGGTAAACTTTATATCTAAAAGAAATTATCAGTTTCAAATTACTACTGAGTGAGTACTGTAACAATGTTTTCAGAAACAGGAAGAAAGCCGGGCTTTTTGTATATTTAATTTCTTAGGTATTTCAAGCATACAATAACTGATATTGTTTGACATAGTAATACGTACTAAAGACAAATTAGTTTAGATATTCCTAAAATGTCAGTGTATTTTTTTTGTTGCTTTTATCATTTTCAATTTTGAACACCTGTTAATGGAATATTACATTCTACGGTTGATATTCCTAATGAGCATGTTCTTATGTTGTACTGTTACACCACTGTCCCAGGTTAAGGGAGGGTTGGCGCGCCTTCAAACTAGTTTATCCCCACCACATGCTGTATGTGCCTGTCCCAAGTCAGGAGCCTGTAATTCAGTGGTTGTCGTTTGTTGCTGTATACCATATTTGTTTTTCGTTCATTATTTTGTACACAAATCAGGCCGTTAGTTTTCTCGTTTGAATTGTTTTAAATTTGTCATTTCGGTGCCTTTTATAGCTTACTATGCGGTATGGGTTTAACTCATTGTTGAAGGCCATACGGTGACCTAAAGTGGTTAATTTCTGTGTCATTTGGTCATTTTTTGAGAGTTGTCTCATTGGCAATCATACCACGTCTTCTTATTTTTATATGTAGATAAGTATCTCATTTCTTACGAAAAATTTGACGATTGCAGATTTGTCTTTACTTTAAAGAAATGATAGTCTACAACATGCGGAAGCCATACAGGGATAAATAAAAATAAGATAAATCAGTAATCTCGGATTAATTATCCATGATCTCCTAATCCGTGATCTCGGTTTCCCAATACGTGATCACGGCTCAATAATCTTTGATCTCGGATATCCAATCCTCGATCTCGGATATCCAATCCGTGATCTCGAATATTCAATCCGTGATCTCGATTATCCCATCCGTGATCTCGGATATCCAATCCGTGATTTCGGATTACTAATCCATGATCTCGGATTAATAATCCATTACCCCGGTTTCCAATACGCGATCATGTGTCATGATTGTTGATAGTAGAAAACTAATTATGTAAAAATAAAAAATAGACTTTACTTATTAATGAGTGATTAAAGATGTTCGCTGATTTTGTTTTTGACTTTTTGTCAGATATTCGGATTCCTCTGGACTTATCCATGTAGTGCCTAAAAAATAATTTGCCAACTTACCACTTATTTTATTACAAATAGTTTAAAAAGACATTATTTTGTAATCTTTTAAAATCCTTGTTATTTTCTTATTACTTTTGTAAGAAAAATGGTGTCACTGTTAAATATATGATAAATCCAGAGAGATCATTTCCCGCCAAATTTTTCAATGGCTTATATCTCAAAAACAAGGACATGTACCTTTCATTTTTTTTTCTATTGATTTATATCAAGTCTTATAAAAAGCTATTATATTATTTTGAAACATTCTTAACATGCTTAACAATCTGTTATTATTGACACTTCCCGATCCCTTGATTCTTCATCATGCAAAATTTGGTCGATCTTAGTTCTAGATCACAAAAGTCGTGCGCAGAACACAAATAAGTATATTTTACTATCATAAGGGTCAAAGTCAAGGTCAAAGTTACCTAATTGGGAAACCAAGAACACGGATTAGTAATTCGAGATCATGGATTGGAAACCGAGATCATGGATTCAAAACCGATATCATGGATTTGGAATCCGAGATCAAAGATTGGGAATCTGAGAGAACGGATAATTAATCTGAGATCGATCACCGATTAATTTTATTTGTTATATGTCCCTTTATGGTTTCCTTAAACAACGAACGTAAATAATTTAGACCTGTTCAATTCAAAAGGCTATGTAAACATCCCGACTCCTAATATGGACTGGCATGAACAATTATAAACATCTAGCAAAGCTTTTTTTTTAAATATTGTGGTTAAAGGAGATACTATGTATTCGCATTGAGACAGCAAAAAGACATTAATTCAATTATATGTATATACAAATGTTTAACTTATTATATGTTGCAAATATTTGGTCTAAATATATTTCTCTTTCACCAAAAGTTTCATTTCTGCAAATTTGTTGGTTAGTTTAAGTAAACAATGACATCAAAAGCACTATTTTGTGTAAGAGCAGGGCTACTTTTACTTTTAAATTCGAGGGAGTGAATTAGTGGTCTGACACCTACATCTATATAAAAAACGAGTATGATTTTGATTTTAGGAAACAGTGATGTTTTGCATTTGATATAAGGTTTTACCTTCCTATCATGTATTTTTTATACGATAAAAACTAAAAATTCTGCAAAGCGTGATCTAGCATGTTTTAGAAAACAAAGCATATGGGATATCTATCTATTACACACAATCAGGACTTGCACAGCAAAAACACACACAAAGCAAAGGAACAGCGCTTTTATTGCTGCTGTTATTCCTCTCAAAGTCACAGTGAGGCCTTAACATTACCCATTTATAGACACGAACATATAACAAGGAGAGTTGAAAATACATATTGAAATAGACGTGTAATATTTCATTGTTTGCGTTAAAGAGATCTTCGGTATTTGTCGACACGACACAGTTCTTTGCATTTTCTCTACTTAATTTTAAAATTATTTGAATGATCGAATTTAGTTTCATTTTCCAACTCAGTTTGTTTGAGATCGTGTGCTGTTTATGACGTTTCTTTAATAAATCTTCTATGACGTACAGCAACAAATGCTAGGGTGAAGTATGGCATGATTTAATTTCAATTAGCAGATTATGCACGTTGAGCTTGCTTATGTAATTGAGAACATTCTTTTATTTGTTAAAGTTTTAATATTGAAAATTAACATACAAAATCGTAGTCAATATGATTAAAATATTTAAGTTAATTATTGCATGTGCAGTAGGGACGTCGTCTAGTTTTGTTGTAAAATAATGTATGTTCTACTGTACCCGCGACTTCAAAGGAAAAAACGAACTCATAGACTCTAATTTACAAATTGAGATGGTTTCCGAATTATCATATGTTGTTTCATGTCTTTCAATGAGACAACGATAAGCCTTGTACGTAATATCTAAAAAAAAAAATAGATGATCGGACCAAGGTTCCCCTATAGCAGGAAAGACAAATTAAAATACAACAAATGCACTGCGAGCTGTTGGTCACTAATAGTTCAAAAATAGAATTTCAAGAAGTGGTACCATATCCGTAAGATGTATCCACAATGATTATAGTTGATGTATGAATATGAACACGCATTTCACGGTACATCATGGTAACATGAAGCTGGAAAGCAAATTTCAATAAGGTTTGATGTGTTGTTACGTAGAAAAATGAGACGAAAATTTCATATATAGCCTTAAATGTAAAAATATACAAATATTTGGTTAACAGAAAGTTGATAAAGTGAAACCTCTTCACAAAGTAAAGCAGGGTTGCATGTAGCAGAATCATAGTTATATTTAGGAAGGTCTGTTTTGTATTTTGTTTTAGAAAAATGCAACGAACGTTTTATACGTGGCTATTATGTGTAAGAATATTCGGTAAACGGGAACTTGATTATCGTTGGCTGTGAAATCTCCAATTATTACGACAAAAATCACATTGGGCGAACTGACAGACAGGGGCAAAACGGTATAACCCCTCCTTTGGAGCGGGGTTTTATTATAGCTGTGCAGTTGAATTCAATCGTTATTCAGTGTTTACATATGACCAAAGAATATACAACAATGAATTATGTAGTTAGGAAGAAATTTCTAGACAGACATGGTATAATAGATGTAAATTATTTATATTTTGCATTCACCAACATATATCCAAGGGCTGAGCCATGCTCGTAGAGCAATTTAGGGTGAATATCATACATGAAATATGATATTCATTCAATATGAATGTTCCATTGCTGAACATCTTCCAGAGACACAAAATCATTCTCATTGTTCTCATTCAGAGACGAACTGTCTTCACTTTCGTCTGAACTTATAATCGGATCTGCTTTCGCTGTAAAGTCAATGTCTGCATACGGCGTTCTGTTGTCAGCTCCATGAATTTGAAATTCACGTTTGATGGTTACAGGATCAAATGCAATCTCAATATAATTCAATTTCGTAGAATCCTAAAAAAAATGAAAGATTTTACTTTTAAAAATTATAAGTTATTTGTTAATAAAAACGTTACAATAAAATGATAGATATGTTACTAACAATGTTGAACTACAGGGAAAAGGAAATGTCAGTGTTCAGTGTTTAAAATTGATAAAAGTAATTTTCCTATGCATTAACATTACACTATATATTTCATAAATATGAATATGTAAATAAAGATAAAAATAAAATCCTTTCCGATTATCATAACACTATTATTACATTGGTTGCAATGCATTACATTGATTTCCTAGTGAAATTAACGTGATTATTTCACTCCTCTGACGTCATACAACAATAGGCGTTGTCAAGACGTCGATAACGTCGGATCAAAACAGATTGTGAATGCGTAGACAAAGATATACTAGTTCCTTACATTTTCTACTTTATTTTCCTAAAAAAGCCATTTGCCAATGTAATAAAAAGAATAACTAATCAAAGAATTCAAATATCGAAAAATATTCAACTCGTGACCGAACAACACTGATAATTAACTCATGCGCTACGCGCATTCGTGAATTAATGTGTTGTTCGGTCACTCGTTGAATATTTTTCTCTATTTGAATTCTTTGATTAATTATTCTATAAATATTACTAAATACATTCCTGTCATGAAAACTAACTGAACATCCAGTCCCAGATGTTGTTTAACACCATAATTTAAGACAATTTTATAGGCAAATTATATAAAATGAAAAAAAATTTGAAAGAAAAATCATACCTAGTTGCGCAAGTGGCAAAGAAGCGGCTGAAGATACGAAAGGGACATTCAGACTCATTAGTTGAAAACACAAAATATAAATAGAAGATGTGGTATGAGTGCCAATGAGACAACTCTCCATTCAAAGTCACAATGTGTAAAAAGTAAACAATTATAGGTTAAAGTACGGCCTTCAACACGGAGCCTTGGCTCACACCGAACAGCAAGCTATAAAGGGCCCCAAAATGACTAGTGTAAAACAATACAAACAGGAAAACCAACGGTCTAATCTATATAAAAAACGAGAGACGAGAAACACTTATGAACCACATCAACAAACGACAACCACAGAACAACAGGCTCCTGACTTAGGACAGGTGCAAAGACTTTTCGCAACACGAACCCCACCAAAAACATTTGGTCTTATCAGGTTCTCCGGAAGGGTAAGCAGATCCTGTTCCAAATGTGACACCCTTTGTGTTGCTCATGTAAGTATAAACCTGGTGATAAGTCTCATTTGGTAGGTCACCTTTGGGGAAACAAGGACATGATTGTAGTTACAATAGCTGAAACAAATCCGACGTCATCTTTGAAACAGATATTTCATAACAGTCAACCATCTCGTAATCGTGTCTGTAACATTTTCGAAGGGATTTGAAATTTGCAACTTGAAATATTTGGTTTAATAGCTTCCTTGAAAGCAGCAACTATCTATTAATTAAATTATGATAGGAATAACAAGTGCTGGAATATCATAACAACTGCGGATATGCAGGCGCTGGTGGAATGTTGCTACATAGAAATAGAAAGTTTACAATTGGGAGGCTGAAATCATCTCTTTTGTCGGAAAGTATTGTTCTCAATCGACCTCATTGTCAACTTCTAGACGTAAGTCGAGATATGAAGCAGACCTTATTGTATCTATTGTATCCTTTATTTCAAGTTCAATGGGATAGAAACATACATGATATAGTCACAAAACTTTGAATTATTTAGTGAGAAGACAATTTAATTTTAATTAAGTGTAATATATGAAGTGCTTTATGTAAATTAAAAGGATTTAAACTGGAAACGCAAGTTTACCTTCCGCCCCTATTCTATAGAAGCAACGAAAATACAATCTCAATTAATAAACATTTAAAATTTAGTTTGCGCTATGTAGTTATATGTTCAAGCATGGATAACGTAATGCATAAACTAGGATAGGAAGGGTCACAAGGATTGAAGGATCACGGATTTGTACAAACGATAAATTTCTGTGTTTCTAGTTTATAATGGTACATATTGTACGGGTGCCACATGTAGAGCAGGATCTGCTTACCCTTCTGGAGCACCCGAGATCACCCCCAGTTTTTGGTGGGGTTCGTGTTGCTCAGTCTTTAGTTTTCTATGTTGTGTTATGTGTACTATTGTTTGGCTGTTTGTCTTTTTCTTTTTTAGCCATGGCGTTGTCAGTTTATTTTTCGACTTATGAGTTTGAATGTCCCTCTGGTATCTGTCGCCTCTCTTTTTTAGCCGAAACGTATTTTTACATTTTTAGATTCTACATTGTTCGGTTATTATAATAATTGGTTAAGTTAAAGATGTTTAAAGAATAGCACAACTTTATCATGCAATTTAAGATCATTGCATGCAGTATTTAATTTTGAGTTAAAACTTATCAAACTACTCTTACATGCTTTCTATTCCTGTTTCGTCTTTGGTTTATATTTTCACAATCTGCAATACAAATCAGGAATGAACAAAGATGGTAATTGTAATCAATGAATAGGCTTTGACATGTACATAAAAACGTGGCTGCATAGTGTTGTCAAAATGTTGTGGGACTCTTCCATCCTATTCGTTTAGCCATGGTGTTAACATAACAAGGTGCGATAAAAATTTCCATTCTTTATAATTGGTAGAAAAAAAAGAAAGTTACTTAGTTGAACTTCCAGGCGAGTCAGCGATATTTCAACCATTATGAGGATTTTCTGAGGTCGTGGCATCCAACATGAACATAATGAAGAAAGGAGATTTATAGATATATAGATACAGAGTCAATAACATGTGGGTCCTTCAAAAAGGGTCAGTAACATACCCACTGATCCATCTAAAATTGCAATGAATTACTAAGTATATGGTTATGTGAGTGGTGTGTTCCTAACATAACCTCCTATAACAGATTGTGGTCATGACGAACAACTCAAATTAATGTTTACGGTCATTATCACGAGTTTGTTGATCCAAATGACAAGTCTTATCTGTAACTTTACCAATCAATGTCATTTTTACTGGCTCTAGAATCACATGGTAGGTGATGCTGGAATTTCAGAAAACACTAACCCTGTCGAAGCATCAAGTCGCGCTTATTTTGAAGTTGATGCTAATATCTACCGACGGACTTTAAAAACGCAACACTAGATTATTTTTTTAAAATTCTCATTTTCAGATATGCATTTTTTTGTAAAATAAATGTATAAAAATAAATTCCATTTTAGTTTGACTGGATTGAAAGAATTGTTTCACGTAGAAAAAAACCCATTAAAAGCCATTCATGGGTTTCAAATACCGCTTTAAGAAATTCCGGCGACGTCTATAATCCAATATGTTTAATTACCTTAGGTAAGTCGGGTATAGAATGTTTCTCAACAGAAAGAAGTATGGTAAGCATGAATAGTAGTTATTTAAAGATTAATCATGATTTGGTAAAAGGAAATCACCAAAATGTGTGTTGCATTTTTATTGTCCGTCAGCATGTACGGTATTATTTCTTTTGGTTGATATATTCCATATGGATTTACCAGTTTTGGCTATTCGTGAAGTACAGTTGCCTTTTATAGTTATTCGGGACAATACTGTAAATATAAAAATATAGTTGGATGCAAAAAAGTTATCCTATAAAATGCTTGTAAATTGACAATATGTTGTTGAATATCTTCACCATTATATTTTTAAATGTACCTGATTTGTTTCCTCCTTTGTCTTTTCCTGTGACTTTGTACGTAACGAGTTGTTTGTCTAAAATTTGCCTGCGGCTATCAATCGAGGAATATACGTCATCTCTGTTAGCAGACATATTGGTGTCATTTCCAATTGCAACACCTGTAAGAAATCATTTTACAATGTTTAAATGTTTATAAGACCACATATCCGGTACAAGTGATGTTCTAAATATTTATATATTTCAAACCAAATGTCGTGCTCAATAAGATCGATGACCTGCGTTCATGTCTCTGTCATACATAAGAGGATAGCAGTCATTATTAAAACGATTGGACAGCACAACAAACCATAACAACCACCACCACCATACTTCTCATGCATTTGTTTTTTGGTTTTTTTTTTTTCCACTGCTGTGAGCTATATAGTAAATCGGGTTGCTTTTTTCAAAACTTCAACCAGTAATTCATACATTGTATAAAGGACTCTAATAAATTCTCCAAGAAAATAGATGGTCATGTTTTTCTATTGGCACCACCCACACCTAGCTCTCTTATACCGGTGCAATGAATGCAAAATATGTAGTGCTTTTGAGCAACTACTTGTGATTTTTTTGTCAGGTAATAATAAATGTGTTAGTATCTTGATATTGTAGTATAAATCTTCCCCACTAGGCATTTTTTGGTCTTAATTGGAATTATCATTGTGAACTTGGTAATAATGGGAGTTATGAAACTTAACATTTGACATATATACTTATGTTTATGACTTTTGAAAGATATTATTAATTCGTAATTTTGGGTCCTCAATGCTCTCAAGCTTCTTACTTTATTTGGCTTTTATAACTATTTTGTTTCGCTAATGAGTCTATTGTAGACGAAAAGTACGTCTGGCGTACAAAATTGTAATTCTGTTATCTATGATAAGTTTATTCATAAAATATGTTTTTACGCTAAAAATGTGCATAGATATTTAATATGACTGAATCAGTTGTAGATGCACTCAAACATTTAAGAAAATATATTTTACGGGATTAAATTCTTATTTTGCAATTCCCGAAGGTTAATCGTTACAATAATTGAAAAGCTAGAATGACTTAATATCATTACTGATTCATGTAATGTCACAAGAAGCGTCTTTACAAATATATGAAATAGTGAAATGTACTTGTGATACGATCTACATATAACTATATGTGTACTACATTATGATTAAAGCTATCATGGCATTAAAAGCAAACATACTCTTGTTATTGAATAATTTGTATTGTTTAGATAAAAAAAAACAATGACTGTAAATATTAACAAGGATAATGTTCTCTTACCTTGCGCAGGGTGACTATTCCGTCGGGGAGAGCTGAAAGGAAATATGATCAATGTTTTAACGTTTAATTACTGCATCAACTACATGTCCATAAAATGCCGATAATTAGTAAAATAGAAATCTCTATTTTCTTGTCTTACTGTCCATGAACTGATCTCGAGATGTATTAGATGAAAAACAAAATATATTTTTCTTTTTGTTGGGTTAATGATTTAGTAATCTACTGCCAATTTAAATCTCATGCTAGACAGATGAAAACATGAAACATTCCAAGCTCTTACGTTCATTATTACAACCATCACTATTAACAAATGTAATATTCAATCTCACATTGAAGTGTGAATAAGACATTGAAAATGGTAAAGAGAAAGAAATCATGTGTTAATATGTGATTAGCTCATGTTCATGAATAACTTTCTAAAATTAAACAAATATTCGTCGATGAAAACATCGAGGGTCCAATAACTTTTTTTGGTAATTTTTTATTTTTATTTCATGATTAGTAGGAAACATAAGCAAGTTTCTGTTAAATTGTATAACCTGTTCTCATTATGCTTAAGAATACATATTAACAAAGAGAGGCTAAAGATACCAACGGGACAATCAAACTCGAAAATAGTCGAAAATAAACTAACAACGCCAAGGTTAAAAAAGAAAAAAAAAGACCAACAGACATACAACAGTACACAAAACACAACATAGAAAACTAAAGACTGAGCAACATGAACCCCACCAAAAACTTAGGGTAATCTCAGGTGCTCCGGAAGGGTAATCAGATCCTGCTCCACATGTGGCACCTGTCGTGTTATGTTAGTACAAACCCGGTTATAAGTCTAATTTGGTAGGTCTCATTCGGGGAAAAGGGGACGGGATTGTAGTTACGATATTTGGAACATATCCGCTATCATCTGTGAAACGGATATTCCATAACGGTCAACCAACTAGTGATGGCGTCAGTAAAATTTACGAATGGATGATTTTAACTTCACCACTTGGTACTAATGGTTTAGTAGCTTCCTTGTGAGTAGCAAGCCTCTATCAAGGAAACCATGATAGGAAATACAAGCCCTGGAATATCGTATCAACTGGGGGATATATACTCCGTATGCAGGCGCTGCTGGAATGTTGCTACATAGAAATGGAAAGTTCACAATTGGGAAGCTGAAATCATCTCTTTTGTTCCAACGAAAAATTAAATACAAATTTTAGAGATAGAAATATACAGAAATTAGTAATAACATAAAACGATTGTTACTAGTTATAACATAGTACCAATCGTTAGGAATGACATAGTGTCATGTTTCATTTTTAAAATATTTCTGATTCTGACAAAAAGTTCAGTTTTTTAAATCCGCACCACTACAGGTTTTAGTTGACAACATACATGGCATGTGTGCTGCTTAGTTCTGTTGTATAAAATTTTCAGTCGACAATAACTCGAACTATCTTTATATTTCCCTTTAATATAATGAAACTTTTCCTCTAAGTAAATCTTGTTTGGTATTTAAGGTTATAGCAACTAGCCACCTGAACATGTAATAACTAATATCGCACATACGTCAAATTACATAACATCAATAAATTAAAAAAAGATATATCTTTTGTAAACTTTGTCCATACAGCTAAATTCCAGCGATACATGCATATACAAATGTCTTGCGAATTATACGATAAATGTAATCCTCCCCAACAATGGTGACAATTTCAAATTGCCTGTGTATAATTCCAAATTTATGACTGTGGTGACAATAATAATGTTTTTTTCGAAAATTGCTATGGTCCCTGAACATTTAACTTGTTAAGATACCCTTTGTTGCAAAAACTTCAAAAGTAAAAATCATAACATGAAATTAAAAAAAAAAAAATTTCTTTTTTAATTTACACCGTCTATTTTATAACAAGTATTGCATAATCATGATTTTGTTGAAGTTCGTATAAATGATTATACACGAGCTCATTGTTGTGTTACAATTATGAACAACATTAAGTCAGTCTGAATAATAAGTCCACACTTTTTCCTAACCAAAGGTTACTTTTCTGAATTTACAGCTGGTTTATAATATTTATGTCAATATATCAATTAAAGTATTTTCTTTATTACACAACATATGACATAGTAGAGTACGAAAGACAGGTTGTATGTTAATACTTGGCAAATAGGACAGTAAGTCAAAAGGAGTCTGATGACGGAAACAAAGTGTTAGTTAAATCAAAAACAAAAGAATATATATGTTTATACTTATTAGGCACATTTTTCCTTGCTGTACATAAATATAAGGCATATATAATGTTTTCATCATGAACGATATTTTGTACATATTATTTCAACATGATTGTGTAAAAATTTCACACATTCACAAAAACCCACGCGTTGTGGTTAATACTAATAAGGGCTTCGTAACGTTTGATTATTTTAAATACACGTAGTAATTAATTCATATTCAACATTATCATGAATATAAAAGTTAACTAGCCCAACTATTGACTATAGATACGAAGAATTTATAAGAATTAACCATAAAATAAACTTATAAATACTTCAGATTCGTATACGTGTACGTGGATATTGAAAATGTTGCTAGTGAGTTGAGATACAGACACATTGTACATGTTGTATTGACTAATCAATTCGTAATGGTGGCCGCAAGACCTAGTGTCTATTTAAGTCGTTCGTCTTCATAACTCTGTTGGAGTAGAGTTTGTGTAAGGAGTTTTCCCTGTTGACAAACTCAGCATAGTGTGACCATGCACGAGCATGAGCAGAACACTTCAACAGACTAAAGAAGATCCATGATTCATTTCATTAGGAGTCTCAGATTGTCACATTTAGACATTTTGTATTTTCAATGGTTTGATTGATTGTATTTTGAATACTTTCATTGTTTGTGAAAGTAAAATAACAAAAACACCAATCTCCAAGAAAAACTTTTAACAGAAAGTAAAAAGCTCAAACACATCAAACGAATGGAAAACCACTGACACATGCCTGACTTGTTACAGCCATTTCCTTATGATTTACATGTTTATATTGTTTGCATTTTGAATACTGTTGACATCTTAAACTTATTCATTCTTGCAATTGAGTCTTGTTACAAGATATTTAATATGTAATGCTACATATACTACGACCAAAGGTCTCGATCATTTAAACAAGTTAATGCAATTTTTTATTTTTTTATTTTTGTAGTGGCAATAGATTATTTCGTCATTAACGTGAATCGATACTTATTATTGGATAAATCATTCTTTGACGTTTTCACCTTACACATGTAGTTGTATTTGGCAAAACCTTTCAGCAGTTTGGTTCTTCAATGCTCTTCAACTTTGTACTTATTTTTTTACCTATTTACCTTTTTTGATATGAGCTACACTGATGAGTCCTTACGCACGTGGGGCGTACAAAGTGTTAATCCTGATATCTATGATAAGTTTATAGGTAAATGTAAAAAAAATATTATATAAGACCAATGCGACATTGGTCCTGACACCTAGCTATATAGGTCCTACTTTTATACAATTTTAAGCAAATATATGTATACATCAGTACAACAGCAAGGGAATATTTGTTTTTTCCCATTTAAAGATATCTATCTGAATAAACCAAACGAGTTTATTGACATAACATGACATAAATTTAATCAAAGTGATGTAACATACCTTGTCTGTAACGCCAACACAAAATGATCAAACAAGCGGGACAGAGAACAGCAATTGAAAGAAACAAAAACTTAAAATGTATCCAGACATTTTTCTTCTCATCTGGAATGTAAAATTAACTTATTTGTTATTTCTGTTATTTTATTAGTTTAATGTATGTATCATTAGAGTTGGTAAGTTAATGTTCAGTGACAAATATTTCATGCAAAATTAAGAGCATATAGAAGAAAGAAAAAAAATAAATAATTTCGACTACCAGACTTTAAAGGGTGATTGGTATTTGGAAACATACGTTGGAAAGGGTCAGATATGTTACCTTGCAATTTGCCACAAACGTACCACTTTAAAAACTATTTAAGGTGTTTTTCTCTGGATAATTTAGAGTGTGAACACTTGTTATTGTTATAGGCCTTTAAAGTTATTTGAATGTTTTGGTATCGTTCGGTTTTTGTCTCATTGAAATGGTGTCCTAACATTCATTCATCCAATGTCAAATTTAACCAATTTTAAGTCTCAAGGTTTGAAAAAGCTATTGAAACTACTCATGTCAACGCAAGTTTACAACAACAGACAAATGAACGTAAATTCGTGAACACCTGCTTTCTTATGTTTGTAATAAAACAATGGAACTAACAATGCATTGCTTCATTCTCATGTAATATCTAGAAAAACGAAATCAACCTTCAAATTGCTAACCTCAACAAAATCATTCGTGAAAACATTAAAACACAAAGCTTACCGTCGGTGAGTACAGTGGATTGCACTGTGAACGAGCTGTTTCCTATTCTGTTGAATGCCAACATTCGTAGAACGTATTCGGTACTAGGCTGTAGATTCGAAATGTGGAAAAAATCCTTTGCTTCGTTAGATTGTATCAAAATTTACTCCCAGATCTCATCTTTTTTTTTCCGATACTGAACAATGAAGCCTTGGGGTGCACCCCCATCAAATTTTGGTTTCCATTTCAAGACAATATAATTTTGTCTTTGATAAACGGCAGTTATTTCAGGTACCTCTGGTGCCCCTTTGAAGCATACAATTTGTATTGTGAGTATATGAGAATTTAACTAAAAAAATATATTATAATGACTGTCTTCAAACGTTTTGAGTACACACTCGTGGTTAAATAAGAATATATTGTCTGTCAACTGATTTCCATTGGCATGTTGTGTTCGGGCTTATACATGCATACTCCCATGCGTGTGCTTTTTTATGAATGAGTAACCCATGGTCAATCGGTGTAAAAGACTTTTTTGAACGAGTGACTATAACTGTGACGTGAGAACACAAACATTGTTTACGGAAAATGCACGAATGTGATAGTCGTCAAAATATGCAAAGATAATTAAAAAAAGATACAATTAGTTTACATTTGTTTGGGTCATATTTATAAACATTTTACTTCATCTTAACCTGTAGTCTTAGATAGCAGGCTTACAATTTTGTACGCGTCTTGAAAAGACTCCTAATCGACGATCGAATCGAAAAAGTTAAATAAGTCAAATAAAATACGAAACTAAAGAGCTTTGGAGACCCAAAATTCCGAAAGTCGTTATATACAGCTAATGTAATCCATTTCTTGGGAAGGGAGTTTATGTTTTCTTTAATTTCATTTTTTTGTGTATTCAAAAGTACTACAATTGTGTTGGTCAAACTTTAGACAGCTACACTGTTTGCAAACTTTGAAGGAAGGAGTCAAAATGAAAGTCATATTTTAACATTTGTTTGCACATGGGAAAGTTAAGAAATGAATACAACGCACAAAATTGACGAATTGGTGAATCTGATGGCATAATTGATACCCTATGAACAAAAACTAATATTTCCCGCGAAAATGTTTTTAAATCGAGAGGGGCACTATTTTACATCAATATTTGTATCATATTGTTTCCTTCTTTAATCAATTCAACATCTTTTAAAAAATAAATGCTATTAATTTCAGATAATTTCGCGCCTTTTCTACAAAGATATGAGCCTTCACAGGTCGACCCCCCTTCCATTAATCTTAATGGGGGTGTTGAAAAACCTTCTTTGAGTTGTATAAATCAACTCTGTTGAAAAATCTATTGATTGAAATGTTAATGTTTTAGCCAATAGTCAGTAGAAGGTAAATAAATGTAGAACAGAGAACAAAATTCGCGACATCTCAACCGCTTCATTTTTTTTGTTTCTAACCTCGTTTCTAACATTATTTTAAATGAACAAGTTTGAAATTTTCCAAACATATACAACTTGTGATCCTTTTTGTTAATATCTAATTATTAAGTAAAAACGAGTTTTAAACTGACATCACAAACTTACGGGAAGAAACAAGAGAAATGTCGAAAGTTGTTCTCCCATTTTGATTTTCTAACTCTACAGTATAGTTCTTAAAATCTTCTTCTCTTGTATTTTGAACTTGATAAACACATATATAACCAGGTACATCAAATGATTTCCCATAAAACAATGTTTTATTGACAGTCATCCTACAATGACAATGTCCAAGGGAATTTCCATTTTCATTTTTCCATTCTGCTTGAGTCACATTTGAAGAACTCAGCACAAACAGGCTCATTCTGGAGGTCCCGTTAAAATGACCAAAGAACATTGACTTTTGTGGTTTTGCTAATACTGGTCTACCTATAATGAAATTATAATTAATAAGAAGATAGTAATCATTTTCAAAACGATCGATTTTTCATGACTGTCTATTAGTCTTGGACGATGTAAGCAATGCGGTGAGAGTTTTATTCCGTGTTGAATGCTTTACTGTGAGATAACGAACAGCCACAAAAGCGCTGTTCCTTTGCCTTTTGTGTTTATTTTGGTGTACATATACCGATTTTGTGTCATGGATTGACACCCCATATCCTTTTTTTCTATTAAAGACATGCTATGATCCATTTCATCATTCTAAAAACCTTTCTACTTTTTTTATTCAAAGCTGTACTTTAAAGTTTCGATTTTTCAAGCTATAAACGTTAACATTAAACGCAGGGTAAACCCATCTGTTTTTAATTCTAATTTTAAAATGTAATCTTGTGTCTTTCTGTTTGTCGATTTATGTTCTAAAAATAAAAAGTAAAATCACAAAAATACTGTACTCCGAGGAAAATTCAAAAAGGAAAGTTCCTAATCATATGGCAAAATCAAAAGCTCAAACACATCAAACGAATGGATACCAACTGTCATATTCCTGACTTGGTACAGGCATTTTCTTATGTAGAAAATGGTGGATTGAACCTGGTTTTATAGGTAGCTAAACCTCTCATCGTTTTAAGAGTAATGAATTCGAAGGAATTTATAATTTCAAATGTGAAATATGTGTAAAATTTTATACATTCCAGATGTATTTTGAATTTTGCGTTGGAAATATAATCATAAACGAACAAATCCATAATTAAATAGTGACTTACTACCTAAGCACATTTTAAACACTTGCGTTACATTGTATATTAAAATATTGAATAAAACAATTTACGGTATGCTCCTTGAAAGATCGTTTCTAAATTACTATTTAAAAACCAGAGAGGGTTTTGGAAGTACCTTCATGTTCCAACTCGTGTGAATGCTGTGCTTACACGCCATTGATTATTTCCAGCTAAAAACCTTAAACTATAAATTCAGTTTAAATAGAATAAATATGGTGTCGTTGTAGTGGAAAAGTACTTTATTTTCAATTAAACGGTTCAAACTCTCTGCAATATATTTGTTCTCAAAATTAACATCTGCTTATTTTACCTTCAACTATCACTTTGATCTTTCTCGACTGCCACAATTTTCCACTATCGTCTGGAATGCCGTTAGTTACGTTGCATATGTAAAACCCACTGTCTTCGAAAACAAGATCATTTGGTTCACCTTCGGGTAAGATAAGCACTCCGTCGCTACTATCATTAAACCTTCTGACCAGCTGGTTGTTGTTAGTGTAATGACGCCATGTGAAATTGTATGTATTTGGTTCACCTGAAACGTCACATTTAAGAGTCCTTGGTCTGATTATTCCATTAAATGTGATATCTTTGGTCCAAACGATTGGGGGATCTGAAAAATATGCATTATCGCCATTAATGTTATTTCACTGCTGTTATTTATTTCTTGCCGGGTTGCAAAATACATTCAAACATATAGTTCCATTTATTCGCATACAGTATGTATCATACCCTTTGCAAAAATGTTTTCGATTTCATGTTTATTAGAATAATTTGCAAATCCTTCCAACAAACTATGTTATTATATCATAACAGCCATGTGCAGTTTTCGTGGTCTTTTCATTTGTTCAATAATGTATCTGTTGCTTTTCAATTAGTTCATTTGAACATTGTAAAGCTGACCAAAGAAACACATACTATGGATCCATTATTATGCATTACGTACTATGTTTTGTTGATTATGTGGATATAGGTAATGAACGAATTTCAGTGTTCATCAAAATACAATTGGTTTCTTTACACCAGTTTATATAATTTGGTCAAACCACAATAATTGTACATCAATCAACGATTATTTTCTTACATTTTAAAACAGCGTCTTTGCAATGACCAATTAAATACTTGAATGTTGTTAAATTCTTTCGTTGCTTTGCTTTCTACAGTGTATTAGATTATTATCATGTGTTTTCTTTTTATGTATTTATTTTGTAAACATTGTTAATGCGTATTTGTATGTATTGACGTCAGACACGAAAACATGTCGAAGTTTGCTTGCCAACTTAATGCGTTTCTTTGGTGATTTGAAGGAAATGAATATTTCAATATTATTTATTTTTACTAGTTAACGTTATTTTTATTTAAATATTAAATTGATAGTCATTATGCGAAATATGTCCGTGTTGAAAATAAATTGTCATTTAGTCCTTATTACGCTAGTTATATAGTGTACATATTGAGACTAAATAAAGATTTTAAACGTATTCATACGTAAACAGTTAAAATCAAGATCTATTCACAACACATCTTATACTAGTATTCATTCAGGTATCTTTTTTGTTTTGTAAACGCAAATGTATCACAGCGCCAAATACTAGTATCAGTACATTAGAAAGGCATGACGGGTTTTACAAAATATTAAATTTATCATTATGTTACTACTATACGTAATCTTATGTAAACCAATTATATTTTTTACTTACAGGTCACAATAACATTTACAGCATCAGAATCTTTACCAGCTTTATTGCTTGCCATGCAGGTGTACTGTCCAGACCTTTCGGATTTAATTTTTTGAAATGTAATCACGTTCGTATTTTTTCCAAACACGTTTCTATTGAAGAACCATGCAAATATCTGGCCATTTCTGCTTTCATTGTGTTTGTCTTGACACTTTAACTTCATGTCTTGACCCTGTCTTACAGTGATATCCTTTTCCGTTTTTCTTACACTAGAGTTGATAGAAACGGTTATCAAGACTGAAGGCTTCACTGCAAGACAAATATTAGAGCGAAACTCATCATTAAATGTCATTCCAAACACAAAGATATTTGTAGACTCGGTCATGGATGACCTAAGACAGATTTGGCACAACAATTTTTATCATTTGGTTTTTAATGCTCTAAAACTTCGCAATTGGTAATGCCTCCCAACTGTTACCACTACGTTTCTGTTTAGTTGATTTCCTATACTTGATTGTGTATTTTTTTCTAATTATGTTTTGAACACGACTATAGGTAATTAGGAAAAATGAAAAGGTGGTAACCCTTATCATTTTTTGCTATAGGAACTTAAAGGTGCATTATAGATTGATGTTCAGAACGGTAGAACACGTTGTCAAATTTTAGTAAAAAAACAAAACCTATATTCTGGTTGATTATTGCTTACTATCGTCCAGTGGTAATACCTATTGTGAATTAGCGTAATTACTCACATAAGAGATTCAGCTTGACGTGGGCTATAAGTGGCCGAGTCTCCTTGCTGTTTTTCGTCGTACATGTAAATTCTTTCATACTGTAAGATCGATGGGTCGTGAGAGTATAACTCAACGATCGAGTGTTGCCTGAAACCAACAATGTATTGTCTGTTGTCCAATATGTTGTATCCCCAGGTAAGAATCCCAAGACAGTGCATCTTAGTGTAAGGTTTGTCCCTTCTGTACCTTGAATAATACCGAAATGGTCTGTTTCATCTATTTTAAGGTCTGGAATTTGAAGCGATAAAATCAACATAACAATACGCAAGATAACTTAAGCATAGATTATCACAAGTAGGTATATATAACACGACAAGGTTATGTTTGAGTATAAACCGTTTTTGTTTTTACTTTATCCTGAAAGTATATACTGTATGCTGTATGTACTATTCACTACAAAAACGTTTCTGTTGGCGCCTTTGTCACTATCAATTACCAAAATTTTTTATGGCGTCTTTGTTGGTCTTTTGGGTATGTTTGTTTGAATTTTTTCATCAGTTGCGTTGTATGTCTGTGATGTATGTTTACACATTTTGGGCTGTTGGATCCCAATTATTGTCGCATAAACCTATTATGTCTGTTTGGTTTGCTCAGCTAATTTTGTTCAATGTAACTGAACTATAAACAACTGTCATACAAGACGGAGGTTTAGCTACATAGGTTTTTGTACCATTGAAACGTTTAAACCCGCTGCAATTGTTTGCACCTGTCCTAAGTCAGGAATCTGATGTTCAGTAGTTGTCTTTTGTTGATGTGGTTCATAAGTGTTTCTCGTTTCTCGTTTTTTTTTTATATAGATTAAACAGTCGATTTTCCCGTTTGAATGGTTTTACACTAGTAATTTTGGGGCCCTTTATAGCTTGCTGTTCGGTGTGAGCCAAGGCTCCGTGTTGAAGACCGTACTTTGACCTATAATGGATTACTTTTATAAATTTTGACTTGGATGGAGAGTTGTCTCATTGGCACACATACCACATCTTCTTATATCTATTAACTCACCACGTGTGCATATTTTTCTTTTCAAAGTTGAGAAAATTCTTACTTTCGTATTTTGTATTTCTATTTAATATGTTGAACTTAAAATTATTTTGACAAATTAAAATATTTTCTAGAGATTCTTACTGTAAGGGATGTATACCGATATCAGTTGGTATATTATAAGTGCGTTAAATAAATATTTAACAAACACACGGACATGACAATGAACAGACGGAATCGCAATACTATAAAATTAGATGGACAAGGATACTGTTTTGCCTTGCCTGTCATATGATACAACAGTTGTATCATAAAACAAGTGGTAAAACTGCAGAACAAATAAGGAACATGCCAAATCGCGTGCATTTAGATACATTAAAGTGAAGATGTTGATATATGGAAGTAACCAAATGCTTAAGTATGTTCAGTAATTAAGACAGTGTTACGATCCAACATTTTTAGGGACTGTTAAAATTGAAAGAACATACCATAACGAGGTATTTTCGTAATAGCCTTGCTAGAGTCGTTTTCACAAAAAAGTACACCTTTGAAATTTTAGAAGTATGTTCTGATAAATCATATAAACCAGGATATGTAATTTTTAACGCCTAGCTAGCTGGGTACATTTTGTAGGAGGTGTGTGACATATCAACAACGGGATCGTATGTTGTAAATAAAAAAAAAGTAAAGTCGTGTCAGCTCATAAAAGTCTGTATCGAGGAACATTTGATTGATTGATGGAGTTTTTGCAAATGCAGCATAAACAGACTTTATATTATATGATATAGTATTTGGCAAAACCTTTCGACATTTTTGGTCTTCAATGCGCTTTAAATTCGTACTTTATTTCGCCTTTTTAACTCTTTTTTATTCGAGCCTACTGGTGAGTCCTTCGTAGACGACGCGAGTCTTGGGTATAAATTTGTAATCCTGGTAACTATGATGAGTTTATTTCATATTAATGACAGTTATGCAAATTTCATTTAGTAAGACAAAGAAAAAGTAACAATTTAAGTTTTACATTTTTGTACTTGCTAATTTATTCTTTTAAATGAAGGTTTTGGTTAGAAAAATCATTCAATGTGAATTAAGTAAACTGTATCTTTTTCTATTTTGTAAAAAAGAAGATGACGGAATAATTAACCGTCGAAACTGGTCCTATATTTTCCTACACTTTATATAAAACTTGAAACGTCATTCATATGAAAAAAAGACTAACTGTTAATAGTACAAAGTATTTTGTTGTTGTTGTTTTTATACTGTTAATAATTGAATGGTATCATCCTTGGCTTTCAACATCTTTAATATGAGCGTTTCTGATGAAGGCAAATGCAGAAAATGCGGTTCTGACAGTTTATTACGTGTTTTTAAATTTTTTTTTTATGCATTCCGCTTTTTACAGAAAATACGGCAGCATCGAGTAACAGTTTGACGGCTCCTAATAAAAAAAACGTTAAACCATTATTGGTAAAATCTATACTTCTATATCATTATATGCCTTTTCCAGACAAAGCAACAAAGCATTCAAATTGAATGACATATTAATATCATTTAGATACGGATAACTACTTACTACGACGTTGAACATGTATTTTGTAATCTTTTGAGTTGTTCCTTCTCTCCCAGCAGAAGTAAATGCACAAATCGTCTGTTGTAAAATTCTGTATTAGAAGTTGACAATCAGAAGTAACATTTAATCTGTCAGATACATTTAAACTTGGATTAATGCTGTTTGTTCCATTTTCACATAGAGCAAGTAGTGCCTTTGATTCAAAATATTGCCAGGCGTTCACTTCTTCGTTTGGACATTTAATTTTTACATCTGAACCAGTGGTTACATAAATGTTCATTATTTCCGTCATTTGAAATCCTAGTAAAAAAGAAGAGGTTATAAGAACCAATTTATGAAAATGTAGAAATCCAGTTTCATGTATCGTGTTTCTGAGTCTTTAGCTTTTAAGTGCACTGTTTATAGACTGCTATTCACCTTTCGCCGTTTTTTGCGTTTTTCTATTTTCGCTTCTAACTATGGTATCTGCCGCCGATGTTTTTGAACGCAACATACTAACATACTTACTAGTATCATTACACTTTTTTCAGATTTAAGACAAATACTTCTTATCTTTAAAAGAAAACACTAAACTAGAGGCTCTAAACAGTCTGTAGTACCCACCTGGATCTATGTACATCGTCAACACCTTCCAACATTAAAGACTAGATAATAACTAAAATACATTGTATTGCGGGTTTTATTTTCTGTTATATATAGCTATTCTTTTCACCATAAATTGTAAAATTTGGTAACAATTATCATTTAAAGGACAATAAATCCTTTAATAAATTGACTGACGATTTCAGCAATAATAATCCATTTTTAGATCTTGTAACAAATAAAACAAACACAAAATGATAAACAATCCTTGTAATTTTAGTGCAATATTAGACAATTACTGTCTTTTGATGAGGTAAATATGTGGTTTTATTGACTTTTGAAAAAACTGATATTCACTGAGGACAACGGCCGAGGTGAATATCAGTTTTTCAAAAGTCAATTAAACAAGATATTTACCGAAACAAAAGACAGCAATTGTTTTTTTTTTCCATATTCCGAGAGAGTACAGAGAGAATGTATGTAATGACAATTATTTACCAAAACCAATTGTACATCAAACGATATTAACATATTAAGTATACACGTAAAAGCACGCGACGTTTTGAATATACTTTTCCGCAGGTGAATATGCTTATTTATTCAAAATCCCATTCATATAGAAAAACATACTAAAGTTCTATCAATATGGAATAAAACCTATTGTTAATCAACTGCCGATTTTGTCTTCTGAATTGTTTGTAGATCTTGTCTTGCTGACTTCTTTATCTGTTACAGTTCTTTCTATCTATAACAGTGTTTAAGTAAACAGCCAAAAACAAACAAAAAATGGTAACACATTTTTTTGAAGGACAACCACTCCTATAAGGAATCAACTGACTATTTCTTATTAATCTTGCCGTGCTGATTATTGTTGTTATCTATGGTTTCTATCTAACAAATATGGGTTTTCAATATGTAAAAATCGTCGATTATAAGGGAAGTAACCACTTTAAAGAATCGTCTGACAATTCAGACTATATCATCTATTGGAAGATCTTATTCGGCTGACCTTTTTTGCTATTTAAAGCTTTTCTCTTTATGTTGTAGTTTTCAAGAAAATAGGCAAACACACAAAAATTGGCAAAAATCGTCATTTAAGGACAATCATTCCTTTAAAAAGTCATCTGACGATTTTTTTTATCTATTTGTCTTAATATAACACAAGGTAATCATTTTTCAGAAATGACACTCGATCGCGAACATTTCTGCTGTCTGAATCATTCGTAGCAGGCCTTTAAAGGATGTCAATCGTAAACTATTTCGTCTTCTCACAGCGAAATGTCAATGGTGTTATCGCAGTGAATGATTAATTATAAAAGGTATTTCTCATTAACCTATTAGTTTTTCTCTCAATACACTTTATCATGCATCAGTGTTTA